GATAGCGTTGTGCTCAGAAGGCTTTGTTTTATCCTCCTACAGCAGAAACCAGAAAAAAAAAATCCTAACCTTCACCCATATTTCAACACTTGAATGGCTGGTCTCGATAGTCAGTGCTGTGCGTTTGGCACGCCGGTCTCACAACAACTTGCGCTGGGCGCTGAACATTGTTGAAGGGGTGAAGTACAGGTCACATGACCCATATATCACTGAAGTATAAGTAGAGGGCTAGCCCCAGTATCAATCAATTATCCTTTTCTTCCAAATTCCTTCTCCCTACTTAACAAACATCGTTCATTTTGGGAAAGGAGAAGAAGTCCAAGGTCAGATAGAACAAGAAATTTCAAGGCTAGGACTGAAGCTATGAATTTTAACAGCAGCAAGGCAGAAACACAAGCTGACAACTGCGACACAAGGCATTGTGTTGGTGCGGGGTACAGCCGCTTCTACCTTGCTCCCCAGGCAGACTCCTACTCATGAAGTAGGTTGATTGGTTGAACGATAAAGTTGCCAAGCAACAAGGCGTTTGCATTCCGAATCCTCGTGAGAGCCTTGAATGAGCAAAACCGTTGACGATTATTGGTGCCCGGCCTGAAGGGTCAAAGCCTGCTCTTTCATTTCTGACACCCCACAGGGAAGGTACATCCATGATGACGATTAGACACATTTACGCGAGCTTCTTACAACATCGCAGCATCCACAACCACACAACGGCAAAGATAAATGTTTACGCGCAATGCATGTGCGTGGCTTGGAGTGCGAAAGTTGGAAAGACGAGGTCTGGCTCTTGCCTACATTGTGACGCTTCTGACGTGGCCCAGACCCTGAACCAAACATTCACAAGCTCTCACCAACATCCTGAATGAATGTTTACCCCGCGACTTCGGCATCGAAATCGTCGTGAGAATTTCGGACAAGGATTTCACACAGACTCTGATGCATGTACCTTAAAATCAAGCAAGCCATCAGTTCATCACCACCTGTCAAAAACCGAGTTTCAACAACATTTGTGACGGTTTATGGAGTAAGGAGGTCATGTGTGCCACCTGTTTTGGTGCAGTGTTCTTGCTCTTTCCAACAAGCACTTTCACCCCCCGGCTGCACGACAAATACGTCATGCAAACAGATCCTGCTGAGGGTCTGGTGAGAACGGAACACACAACAACAACATGATATACTGATTTTTACTGCTTCGCGCAGTTCGCCCTGACTTACTGCCCTGCGCGGTTACACCTTCATTTATTGCATTTACTGCAATAACCTTCTACCATGGTAGCTCGGCCATCGGGTCAAAGGAACTTGTCATGCGTCTTCTCCAAAGTCGCATTGTTGACCTGTTACGAATTCGTCAGCGTCTTTATGCACACGGTGCGAAGATTCACATACCACCTGCAGAATATCTTGACAGCTTGCTCCACTGACGCAGCCGACGGTGCCATATCAATCCCTTTCGGTTTGAGCCTCTCAAAAGCTACTTCGGCCATCTCTGTCGCGGCCATGCTGGACTACGTCAGCTTCAAGAACAGTGAAGTCTGTACCTATACTTACCCCGGATATTGTGCCCAGACAATGACGTCTTGCTGCTCAAAAGAGAGCCACCTGAAGAGGAAGTTGGCAAATGCCTTGCTCACGCCATAAGCCGACAGGTCAACGGCGGTGTTCATGGCTGTCAAGCTTCCAGCAATGCGAGACGTACATGAATTTGCCCTTGGTCTCGCTCTTCGACTCGCGCAGCAATGCCGCCACGGCTTTGAACAGCTCCAATTGGCCGTATGCGTTAATGTCGATGAAGGGTTGAATATCGGAGACCTCAGACTCGATGAGCTTGGGGCTCAAACTGGCGTTGCCAGCATTGGTGAGGACTACGTCAAGAGAGTTGATGTTGTGCTCGGATTTCCAAGATGTGATAACACGTGTGATGGTATCAGTGGAAGCAACATCGACCTTGATGACGACAATACGAGTTCCATAGGTCCTCGAAAGCGAATGCAGAGAGTCTGTAGACGCAGCCTTTCGAACTGCCGTTACAACGATGGTATCGGGGTTATTGAGATATGCCGCGACGAGGTCCTTGCCAATACCTGATGTTCAGGTGGTCAGTTTATTGTTTGAGACAAAAGAGAAGGGTCTACGAACCGCAGCTCGCACCTGTGACGAGGATAGTGGTAGTAGATGATATTGCTGATGGACTTTAGGTTGAATGTAGTGAGAGATCGACCTAGGGAACTGGCAAACCTGGCTCTTCAGCGAGAGTGTTCGACGCACAGTCATAAATACCTTCCTGCTGCGCGGCGTGTAAACTACTTGAAGACTGGGACTGATAGTCTGACGGTGGTAGGAGTGTACCTTACTGCGCAGGAGGGGCTGTGGAATGCACAAAGCGAGATTGGGTGGAGTAGGACGAGAAAGGAAAGACAGGAGCTTCAGGTGCTGGTCAACGCTTGAGACGACATGATGGCGTTGGCAACTCCTGGCGACAACTTAGAAGAGCTTGGTGTACTGGTCATGAGCATGCTGTGGGGCCTGAGAGCTACGCGGAATTAGCTGGGGACTCGAGTACAGTATCAAGTATGGCTTGCACTGTCAGGCGTGGACCCGGGATGCTCTGGGCCTTTGCTAACCTTCCTGATGATGTCAAGGTCAGACCAGACAGTTACATGAAGCTCGACCGCGAATGGCGGAGGACTCATGGGCCAACGCCGGACGAGAATCCGGGATATGTGGGGATATCAGCCCCGGAGGATGACGTGCATGCGCCGTGGAGACACTGCCGATACACGCATGTGGGATGGATGCAGCTGCACATCAAGATAGAAAATGTATGTTTAGATTATGGGTGAGGATGCTAGGAAAGCTGCGTACCAACTCTTGTAGTTGCAGGTGAAATGCAGAGAAGACGCACATTAAGCACTTTTGGCGTGCCAAGCAGCTGTCGCAGTATCCTGGATGCTCACACCACCACATGAACCCAAAAGCGGTTCTGTAGAAAGGCCGTCACAACGCCCGCTAATAGCAACACCACATGCACAATCTGCCACCTCCCTTCAATCCCAGATCTATGTTTCACTCAGCGTGACTGCCGCCACACCACCGATGGTAGCACCCAATCCCACACCCACAACGCCCTGCTGCGCCCTCGTAAACCGCCTGCTCTCCCTGTAGCTGGGTTTGACGACGTTGTCAGGCTCGGCGATACCCATAGAACCAGGCGGTGCATCTCTGAGCTGTCCATACCTCACCCGCCTCTTCCCAACCTCCTGCAACACCTCTTCGAAATCACCGTGCTGGGCTTTGACATAGTCCGGTCTGATGACGGGCGCGTTGAACGCATTTGCAATCTCGAGCGGGCCGAGCGTGACCTTGCGACCAAGCTGCCAGAATCCCCAGTACACGGGGAGAACGAGCAGCATGGTGACAAAGCTGGCCGCTAGCGCGCCACCGACATAGTTGAAGTCTGTCTTGTACTCTTCGACGATGCCGGTCACCGAGGTGAGCGCCGTTTGGGAGGACATGCCGCCGGCAGTGCGGTTGTGCACATCAGTGGTGGGCTGGCCTTTTAGGTACAGGGCAGCGACGAAGGAGAGCGTGTTGATTTTGCGCAGCAGTTCGACTGTGGGATCGTCAAGGTCCGGGCGGTCAATGTCGTAGTAACATCGGCTGAAGGTCTCGGTGTCGGTGTCGGCGAAGAAGGTGGTTTGCGCTTGGCCGCCACGGAGCACAATGTCCCAATCATCCTTGTATGTCAGGTTCGCTGAGCTGGAGTAAAGGTTGTTGAGCACGTAGACCAGAGCTCCAATGGTGGATGTCTCGTTGAATTTCTCCTTCAGGTCGACGTATTCGAGGAACTTGAGTTGATCGATCTGCGGCTCGGTGATAGGCGTGCTGAGTGGGTGCGAGATATTGTCGGTATAGAACTTGACGTGTGTGACAATGTTTCTTCCCTCGAGCTCTTCCTCAGAGGGCACCATCACTGTGACGGGGTATTCGACGATGGCTGGCCGGATCTCGCATGTTCGTCGTGTGAGGCTGCCTGGGCAATCGTTGTCTGTAGCGCCGGCGTGGCTATCGACGTACAGCATATCCATATTGATGCTCGCGTATGGCTTGGTGTCGGATGCCCAGGAGGATGAGAAGCCGATGTTCCACAGTGGGTATGTCGTCTCGACGCCACCAGCTGAGCTTTGATGTTGCAGACCATAGTTGACGTCTTCGGTGGTGGTGCTGCAGTTGAACGCAAAGCCCAGAGCCTTGAAGGCGCCACTGCATTCTTGTCGGAAGGGACAGTCGAAGAACGAGGCATTGTTACGCAAGGTGTCGTGCACTTTGCCGTTTGCGATCTTGCCATTGTAGGCATTGATCACACCAGCCCAAGCTGTGTCAACAGTCTTGATTGCTCCGTTCTCTCCCGGGACACCGCCGCTATTCACAGGCCAGTTGGTCTCCATCCAACCCGTGACCGATACATTTTTATAGTTGACTTGTTGCGTGACGATGGTCTTGGTCGCCTTCTGAAATAGTGTACTGTCGATGATGGCGAACTTCGTCATCAGTGCCGCAAGCGCAACAATGTTGAAGTGCTTCCCGGATGTCACGATGGAGTAGAAGCTGTATGAGTATGCGTGGTTCCTGTGTAGTGTGCCGAGGGAGCTGCCTTGCATAGCCTTCCTCCACCATGCGATGGCCAAACCTTGACTGATGAATGTGATCAAGCCCAGGTTCTGGAACTGGTTGGCAATGTTGATCAACACGTTGGGTTGGATGGGGAAGCGTGTGAATGGCCAGTCCTTGACGCGTTCGTTGTTTGATGCACCGAGAACAGCGACAGCCATGGAGGTTGCGACGATAATGATGACGAGACCCGAGAAGCCGATCCATGGGAACTGCTGGCGGAAGCCGGGTTTCCAGTCGATGCCATCTTCGCTGCTGTCGTCGCCGTTAACTTCAGCGGTCTCGACGTTGGGGGCCTCCTTGTAAGATTCGGATGAGGATGTGAGTGTGTCGTTGACGCTGCCTCTCTCCGTATTTGTTGTTCTGTGCTGATTCTGTGCGGGTGTGATGGTATCATTTGGGTTTGGAGTTGGGGGCGAGGTCAGCTTTGCCAAAGTAGCTTGGTCGGTCCGCTTCTGATCATGCTGTGCTGGCGTGGTGTGGTCCATCGTGACGACTCAATTTTATTAATGAAGGGATGAGAAGAGGAAGAAGAAGAAGAATTGAGAAACAAGTACCAAGGTACGCAGCGTGGTACGTCTTGACGGCACGGATGAGGCACAGCTGTGAGACGTGGAAATTGGATGTAAGACCAACAATAAACCTTCGTGTGGCCCCAAACTACCACTTGGATATATTCTCACCCCCCGATCCAGACATTCTTAGTCCACATCTCCAGGCGTCCCTGCAGAAGCTGAAAGATGAGCCTGCAAAGAGTGCATCAAACACATGCATACACAGACGCTGGTGCGGTTATCAATTGGTGCTCAGGCGATTCCGAAGGGTCGGCGCGAGCGCCACGATCCACGCTGCACCAATCACGCTAACGCTGGCGTCCCCACGGTAGAAGCGCGCTCAGCTCTGGCGATTTTCTGCATGCGGTCGTGTCGCGTGTGGAAAGCTGACAGGAGGATGATGAGGCTGCAGAGCCAAGACACCGAGTTCGTATGCTGCCAAGACAAGACCTGGACAGAAATGTCCATGTTGTGGCCGTGCTGTCGGTGAGCGACCATGCTGACGACTTGGCAAGGGTTGGCAAAGCTTTATTTGCTTGACGCAGTGCCTCACTGCATACGACCACCATTCGCACCGGGTTGTTGTGGGCGCGAGGTGAGTGGTGGGGTTAATGCCCAAGTGGCTAGTAGAAGTGCAGAGGCATGTTCATAGCCATGTGCCTGCGTCGAGGTTGCTGTGGTGCTCTTGATGACCCCGCGATCGTGCTTTCGAGCGGTTAACGTCCATGTCTGCCATCCCTCTGGAGGGTGAAGCAGCAAGCGAGAGACTTGTGTTGCTGATTGCTGATTGTACAGTGTTGTTCTACATATGTTTAGGTACAGGTCTAAGGTAAGTCATACATACAAGTACAATGCGCTCGGCCTACTCCCAGCGCGCCTCCTTCCTCAGCGGCTTTTCCCAATCCTTGACGTGGTCAGCAATGACCTTAGCGGCCTGGTCCGCGGTGAAGTTGCGGCCGATGGCTTCGACGAAATCGCCCTCAGGGTCTGCGAATGTTAGCGCTGCACTTTTGCGTGTGAATATTCGTGCCCTACCCATCAAGTAGAAGTAAATGCTGTGGTCGACCAGGTAGTCCTGCCCCGGCGCGACATCCTTTGGCGTGCTGAAGTACACGCGATACGCCTTGCACGTATCCTTGATCTGCTCGTGATTCCCCGTCAACCCAATGAAATCCGGGTGAAACTCCGCCAGATACTCCTTCAGCACCGCCGGGCTGTCTCGCGCAGGATCACACGTGATCATAAGCGGCAACAACACATTCCCGCACTTCTCCCGCACCTTATCATACATCAACGCCATCTTGTCCAGCTCATCCGGGCAGATATCCGGGCAATGCGTGAAGCCAAAGTACACCAGCGAATACTTGCCTAGCATATCGTTGGAGCTGAACACCTTGCCGTCCTGGTCCACGAGCTCAAAGGGGCCGCCGACCTTGGGCTTGCCGACGCCCTTGGTCTGCTCGGCTACGCGCTTGCGCGCCATGCGCTCCTTCTCGTATGTGAAGTAGGCCCACAGACCGCCGGCGGTTGTGACGAAGAGGAGGGCGGCGGTGATGTTGAAGGGGCCGCCCTTGTTGCGGGCCTTGATTTGGTCGATGGTATTGAGCGCCTGGCGGTAGGACGTGTTCGAGAACTGTCGGCGCGCCTCAATCGTTTGCTGGGCCTGGCGCAGGCGTGTCCGTGATGCTGCGCTGGGGGCTGTGGAGGCGAATGTGCGGACGGCGATGCGCGGGGTGGCATTGCTCCTGAGGGCAGTCGCGATGTGCGCTGTGCATCTGCTCGGTGCGGCCATGGTGTGTATGCAGAGACTGGGTGACGTGATGGTGGTTGTCCTGCCGGAAACTTTTGGAGAGCTTCACCGGGCGTCCGCGCACGAGCCACATCGAATGACATGTCATATCTTCCTTCGCCTCGGCCTGCCCTGGACCCAGCATCAGAACATCGACTGATCGAAATCGAGGTAGCCAATTGCAGACAGTAGCCGAATGCAGTATGCTGGGCAATATGAGCTTGTTTCGACGACCTCGACGATCTCGACGACCTTCACGACCTCGACAACATTCACGACCTCGACGACCACACTGCATCTTTGACAACTACCAAGAATCTGGTCGCTGCTCAGTCACGCACAGAGTCACGTCGAGGTAGTACAGATTTGACGAGGACAATAGCGATGAGCACTTTTCCTTGGTTGAGGACCTCGTGTGGTTGTACAATCTCTCGAACAATTAGTCCACTCAAAAGCCCGTATATCGCTCGTTGTGTACGTTGGATACTACGTAGATAGCGGACTGCGGCCCAACCTTTAGCCAGCAGCAAACTGACTCTTAGCCCGCAACCCCTCCCCAAACTTCCACAGCATAAACGGCGCCGGCACGCCCAATGCCAACGCAACAAACCCCAGCAAACTATTCCCCCATCCAAAGTCGAGCGCGTTGTACATCGCCGGCGCAAACAGCGGAAACCCAAAGCCAGCGAGCGACCTCAGCACCGTCGCTGCTGCGATAGCACTGGCGGCGTACCGCGTATAGCTGTCGACGAGGTATGTCTGAATACACTGGAAACCAATGATGACTCCGCCGCAGAACAGCGCAGCACCGATGTTGGGCATTATCCAATGCACATTCGCCTGCGCACTCCAGCCATACCAAAACAACCCCACCGGCACCAACAAGCTCGCAGGCACCATAATCGGGACCCTAAACTCCGGCTTGCCTACGCCGTGATTCTGTTTCTTGAGCCGGCGGTACAGCATATCGTTCAGCGGCGCCGTGATCTGCGTGCCCAGGAAGAAGCCCACGCCCATGGATATGAAATTGAGAGACCCGATGCCCGCGCTCATATGGTACTGCCCCGTCCAGAGGCGCGGGAATGTGGACAGCATGAGGTACATGAGCCCGTAGAGGTACGCCATATAGCACGCGAGCACCTGCAGAATCGGCTGTGTGCCGAGCAAAACAAACGGTCTCTGCATGGCAATCTTCAGCGTCGTGGCCAGCGTACGATCCGGACTATCGAACTCAGTGTGCAATTCCTTGTTCCCCGACTCTTTGATGAGCTTATCGCGCTTCCAGGCGAGCAGTTTCGGCGCATAAGTTTCCTGCAGGAAGAACACGCCGAAACACTGCACGACGGCTGTGAAAATCGTCGTGGCGTAGAAACACCATCGCCAGGTCGTGTTTTGGCTGATGAAGCCGCCGGCGATGGGGCCGATGGCGGGCCCGAGAAGGGGCGCGAGGGAGTATATGGAGATTGCCTTTCCGCGCTGTTCGGCGTGGAAACAGTCACTGAGGACGCCCTGGCAAGCAACATTAGCAGATGAGATGTGTGTTGGGTGGTGTTGGGGGACTTACGCCGCCGATTGCCAGGGGCGCGGAACCGCCGAGGCCACTGAGGAATCGGAAAGCCATCAGTTGGCCAGAGGTTTGAGCGAACCCACAGCCTAGGTTCCAGGCCAGGTAGAATAGGTTCGACAGCTGCAGGACGATGACACGGCCGTAGATCTCTGACAATGGCCCAAGGAAGAGGGGGCCGATAGCGTACGCGAGGACGAAGATGCTGAGCGTAAGTTGCGCCTCAACCTCGTTTGTGATGTTGAAGTCTCTGCTGATCGAGGCCAGAGCGGGCGAGATCATGGACGATGAGATGGGCGAGACGAGTGTGAAGCAGGAGACGATGAGTGTAGCCGCCCACTTGCGCTTGATGGACCAATTTTTGGGATTCGCTGGGTCATCTGGTGAGTCCCATGTCACCTACGAATGTCAGCCTTGCCTTGCGTAGTAGATTCGAAGCTGGGTTACTGACAAGGTTCGGATCCTTGATACTTCGACTGCTCTTCTTCTTCTCTAGTTCTGGCTTCGCGGCTTCAACATCATGCTCATACGGTATACCTCCTCTAATCTCCTCGTAAGTTTTCTCCTCGCCATGCGCAGCCTCGTCCTGGTTTTCCTTCTCTTTCGTGCTACTTGCGCTGCTGTCGTCGTCGTCGTCGTCGTCGCTGGACGAACTCTCTACGTCTCGTCGCTGCGTCTCGGTTTTGTGAAGCGACGACGTATCGTCCCTGACATGTAGCCCGTCACCATCCTCGTGGTGATACACTGAGTGGTCATCTGGGTGGTGGTTGGATAACAGATGGTGTAATGGTGGACTGTTTGGTCGAGATGTCGGGCGTCGAGCGTTCTCCATATCAAGTCACGTGCTCAGAACACTTCAACGATTGAGTCAGGGCTACCGCAATGATAGGCTGGATGTATCTTGTCCAGATCCGCGGACGCTATGTCAGTATATGTACGCCACCAAAACACCGAGGAGGAGTTACCGTTCGCGCAAACACGGTGTCTAAGGTCCTATATCTGCTCTGGCGGCGAATCTCGCCTCAGGAAATAACAGCCTCGACATCCCGGCTTTTAGCAGCGTTGACCAGGCGAAAAGTCCGTTCGTCGCTTTACAGGCTTGTTCCATCGTCTCGGAGCCTCGGTCGACGACTCACCCCGGCAAAGGGGAGCTGTGAGAGCTGTGAGAGCTGTGAGAGCTGTGATTTGTTGGAGAGGTGTGGCGCGTGCCGAGTAGCTGTGGCACACGGAGGATGGATGAAGAGTTCGCGCCGAGGCTTGACGATGTGTGACGTAAGAACAAAAAATAGTTGGGCGGTGGAAAAGTAGCGAGCTCCACAACCTCAGGAGAGGAGCCGATACTCTGACACGGAATGCGGTGGTTTGTACGATACAGCTTGCAGACTGCATGTACATCAGGCCGCGCATAGATACAGCAGTGACCTTACAACTTTGACTTCTCTCCCTCCTGCCCCGTCTTCTCTCCCCCCTGCTCCGTCTTCTCGCCCCCCTGCTCCGTCTTCTCACCCTCCTCTGCCCGCGCAACACCACTCCTAACCTCCAGCCCGCCCTCCTTCTTCCTCCCCTCCCCAGCGCTCACGAACGGCACACCCTCCCCAATCTCCAAATCAATCATCTGCGCCTTCCCCTTGACCAAATTGACCATGAGGTAATTCATAACACACCTGATCCCCAGCTCCTCACCCCTCTTGACAATCCAGCCGTTGATGTAGTCAATCTCCGTCTGCCGGCCGGCCCGCGCGTCGGCGAGCATGCTGCTGATGTTGTCTTTTGTCTTCTGTGCGACGGAGACCACAATGGTTTCGAGACGGCCGGGATCGAAGCGCGAGGAGACGTTGGGGATGTACTGGAGCTCGGGGAGCGAGCGCATCACGAGGCTGATCTCGGAGAGGAGGAGGCGGATGGTGCGGGTCAGGGCGTAGTTGTAGAGGATGGAGCCGTTGCGGGCGTCGAGGAGGACGGTGAGGGGGTTGACGATGCAGTTGACCGCGAGTTTCTCGAGCTGCATCTGGAGCAGGTCGGGTGGGGAGAAGGCGGTGGCGGCGAGGACGGGGGTGCGGAGAAGGGTGCGCAGGAGGTACCGCTGATTGGGCGTCCAGGGTGTGGATGCCGAGGTGGGCAGGGCAGCATCATGGTCCTGCGTGCGAGGTGCTGGCGGGCTATGCTGGACTGCTTGCCTGTGTGGAGCGAATGTGTCGCGCGGGGCGTATGGCGACTTGGGATCGCGGTCTCGCTCGTGCGGCAGAATGCCGAGCGCGAGTGTGCCGAAGCCAGCATGAACAGTGGTGAACGGAGTGTCCGGGGACGAATGCATGCCGTGCGAGTTGATGCCGAGCATGTAGTACGGTCGCGAGGCCGGGTCAGGGAAGATGTCGCGGTTCACTTCGTCCACTACGCCCATGCCGTTCTGCAAGAACAGCACCACCGAGTCTCTGTGCAGTCTGTGCTTGACAGCAGACAGGCCCTGCAGCACGACCGGCGCCTTGGAGCACACAATCAGCGAGCTGATGGGCGCTGTCGACTCTCCGTCCAGCGTCTGCGGCTCCTGGAAGCTGCGGCCCTCCTCGGCCTTGCTGTTGGACAGGCCGACCTCCTTGCCGTGGAAGCGAATGCGCGGGATGGCCAGCTCGGCGTCGTATCCATCACGGACCTCCGTGTCGCCTTCAGTCACGACCGCCAATCGTTGCGGCGAGTCCTTCCACCCGTTGAGACGCTCCCAGCTTGGAAAGAGGAGCGTGACGGGCGGGGGGTTCGGTGTGCCTCGGATCGCATGCGCAATGAAGCTGCCCACGTTGCCGACGCCCAGGATGTGCACGCGGCGATCGAACACTGGCATCGTGCGATAGAAGTCGGCGGCGCTGGCCAGGACTGGTGGCCCCGCGGTTTCACGTGACGGGGCCTGTCCGTTCGCCGCCGCCGCCGCCGCCGCCGCCTCCTTCTTCTCCGTCGTCCAGCTCTGCATCAAGGTCCGTCGCTGTGCCCAAGCCAGCCGGCTGGCGCGGTTGCTACCGGGTCTGCATTGGGGGTGTATGTGCGGTATCCGAGGCCGCAGCCTGGGTATGAACTGTGCGACCGAGAGAGACAGCTTGGACGATTCACGTGCACATCAATGGCCGTAGGGCACGCGGAGAAAGTGCGTTCTGTGAAGGGAGGAGGGAGGAGGGAGGAGGGAAGCAGTCGGATGCAAAGTGTGGGAGTGATGCGCTCACCTTGCAAGGTGAGGCCTAGCTCGAGCGGTGGGTCCTCGGCCCGCGACTTTTCTGTCGCACCCTGCTCACAGACCTCGACCTTTGCTGTGTATCGGCAACGCAATACTGCATAGAGCTCGGGGCCCGCACTCGCAGTCATACCAATCATACTACCGTGTTTGCAACACCCACTCGGGCAGTCGTTGTCGTACGAACATCCACCACACGTCCGCCACACCACGTCCGCCACACAAACCACAGCAATGGACCCCCAAACCGACCTCCCCGACCTAGTAGAAGACCTCGAAGTCAACATCGACGAGCTCTCCGGCACCCTCACACCCCTCCTCCCCCCCAACACGCTCTCCAAAACTGCCACCTCCCTCCCGCTCCTCGAGAAGGCGAAGCTCTACGTCCTCGCTGCATATGCGATCGAGTCAGTACTCTTCTCAAGCCTGCAAGCGTCCGGCGCCGACGCCAAAAGCCATGCCTTGTTTGCTGAGCTGGGGAGGCTGAAGGGGTACTTCGCCAAGATCAAGGACGCCGAGGAGAACGCTGCGGGGCCGCGGCAGAGACTAGATAGAGATGCTGCGGCGAGGTTCATTAAGCATGGTTTGAGTGGGAACGAGCGGTACGATGAGATGAGGAAGGAGCGGATGGCGAAAGAAAAAGAGCACGCGCTGGAAAAGGCGAGGGCAACGATGAACAGGAAGTTCGACGAGGAGGAGACGCCGAAGAAGCGCGGAGCCGCGGAAGGAGGGGAAGAGCAGGACACGCCGGCGAAGAAGGCGAAGCTCGCTAAGACTGCGGCAGGCGAGGAAGACGAGGACCTGGTCGATACACCAGCCACCGCGCCAAAGAAGCGCAGCAGAAAGACGAAGCAGACCGCCGAAGCCGAGGAGGAGCAGGAGGACGCAGCGGAAGGAGGCGAGGCGATGGACGTCGATTCCCCCGCCCCAGCGAGAAAGAAGCGCGGCCGACCGTCGAAAAAGGACAAGGCGGCTGCCAGCGTAGAAGCAGCGCCACCGCAGGAGACCGGTACACCGACTCGAGCAACGCGGTCTTCGGCGCCCAAGACGCGCAGCGAGGCGTCTCTGGCGCTGGCTGCTGGGTCGCCAGCGAGTGCGACGAAGGCGAAAGGGAAGGCTAAGGGCAGGCCCAAGGCAAAATAAGTCACATCGCGGAATCGGTCTGCGAAGGCCAGAATGGGAGGAAGGGAGAAAGGGAGGAAGGGAGAAAGGCGGTTGAAAATACGTGCATTACCGCTCATAAGCGGAGCATTTACTATAGATGAGCCAGGCAGGAGCCTCTAAAATGATACCCTATTCCACCGCTCTCTTCAACAGAATCATAGACATCAAACGCCGTGATTCGTGGTATTCCCATCCCAATGCATACAGCTGACAAAGGAAACAGGTTTTGGGCGCCTGTAGAAATGCTGGACCTAACAAATGTAATGACGAAATGCTGTGTGGGTGAATATACTACTCGAAAGCCCCTGGGATGGTGAGACTTAATCGCTCATCCTTCTTTCTTAGTGGCGCGAGTGGTGGGTTCGAGTGCGAGCGCTGGCGCTGTAGTGTAGGCTTCTCCGTGACAGGTTTCGCATCCAGAGACCTGCGGACTTCGGATTGGAGCTGCTTCTGCACCATGTCCTCGACATGCTTCTCCTCGTCTTGGGTAAGCGTTTCCTTGATCTCTGGTGAGATGACGGTCTTGCCTATTGATACGCGTTTCTCCTTGTCCGTACTCGAAGCCTTGAAGGGGTCATCTTCGATTTTCGGTGCCTCGACCGCGATCTCCATCGACTGATTCGATTCCTCGCTCGTCCGTATCTTATCGGTATTGGCAAAGGTGGAGCTGCGCGGACTATCTCGCATGGGTATGAAGGCTGGTACTACGCCGCCGCCGATGCGGTTCCAGAACATGCGCTCTCGCAAACGTACGCTTTCCTCCCAAGCGTTCTTCTTCTCCTCGTCTGTCTCTGCTCGCCAGTGTCCTGCCGCGATCATGCGGAGGAACCCAATATAGTCGCAGGTTGCTCGTACGCGTCCTAGACACCAGTCGCATAGAGGATATCTTTGTGAGTCTTCGTTATCAGCGGTCTTGAAGCGGTACTTCCTCGCGTACTGGTCGCCCTTCCTGCTTTCTCCACACAGCGAGCACGGTAGGACTGGTGCCCGAAATCGAGATGTTGAAGCTGGGTTCGGCTCCACGACAAGTGATCCTGCTGTGATACTGCTGACGACGGTGCGGCGCGCCATCCACGAGAGGCCTGGAGCAATGTCCAGTCGAAGTGTGGGTTCGATGTCTTCTGCAAGCGCCCGCTTGTAGAACTTCTCGTCCTTCAAGTTTGTCAACGCTTGGCTGGCGACGGGCTCTCGGGGCGAGTTATTGCCGTTGGTGGGCGATTTGATCGAGGACGGTAAAGAGGTTGTCGAGCTGTTTGTCAGTGAACCAAGCCCGAGCACGCTCAAGCTGCTGTAATTTCCACTCGATACGCGGCTCGAAGGGGCAGATCGAGGGACCGTCCTCAGCATGGCCTGGAACTCCTCGAAAGCTGTCAAATCGGATCGCAGGACGGGGTGAATTAGGTGTGAGAAGTGTAGCGGGTGATCAGGGCTGAACTCTTCCGAGCCTGGCGTATTAGGCGTCAGGTTGGTAGCTTCGAGCAGCTTCGTCATCTTGTCGGCGGGGGTGATGCCTGGTGTTGAGGGTGCCGTGGTTGTTGCGAGGATGTTGCTTTCGTCGTCGCCGCCATGTGAGCTCAACTTCTCCATGACGCCCTTCAGATCTTGCAGTTGCTCTTGCAATGAGTGCTGCAGCACTTCTGCGTCGCTAAGCTGCTGCTTGAGCTGTTCGCTGCGCTTGTCAGAAGCTTTTGTCTCTTTGCGTGCTGCTGCCACCATCTACTCAGTATTAGTACCTCTTCATGCCACTCCGACTTTGCTACACCTACCACATTGGCTTCCTCAAACAGCGCTGCTGTCAGCTGCTCCACCTCGCTGTCGGTGTTGCGCTTCAGCCTCTCTGCCTCCGCGCGGCGCTTGCGCTCTTCCTGCAGTTCTGTCGACATTTGGCGCTCCATCTTATCGTACACGACCTTCTCGACCAACAGCCCTTTGGCAATCTTCTGCTCGTGATCTTTCACCTGCACTTCCAGCTGCTCGAGCTGCTTCTTTGCCGCTTCCAGCTCATGTCGTGTCTGCTGCAAGGAGTCGTCGAGCATGGTCGAGTGGTTGATCGCATTGATGAGCTTCGTGCTGAGGGTCGAGACTTCCTGGCTAAGGTCTGGGTGCGAGTCGCTCGAGTTGTGGCGCAAAATCGGCGGTTGAGGTGTGGGTGTTCGAGGGTCTGGGATCGTATTCATGCCGTCACTCTCGCTGGCAGCTTTGGCGAGGTGCGGTGTCGATATGGATCTCGTGACTTCCTTCTTTGCCGGCATGGGGCTCAGCGACCGCAGCCGAGAGGGCGTCATGCTGCCTGAGCCATGCTGGACCCAGGGTGCAGCCGTGTGTATGAATCTGCTGCATATCAGTCAACGGTCTGGTAGCGAATAATTTGCACCTACGCATACTCGGCCATTGTGCTGATATGAATATTTCTCAGCTAAGGGACATTCCAGGGCGCCCTACTGCTGTTTCGAGAGGTGCTGTTGGCGGCGCCGCGAAGCTGTTGGCTGTTGGGCGGCAAGCGGCCGAGGACAAAGGAGTGACGACAGTCGAGAGACCAGAAGATGGGATGATCGATTCACGGCGAACACATTGGAGCCAACCCACACCGTTCAGGTGCAACAACAGCAGAGTCAAATCGTCGTCTGAACGACTCCCGGACGAAAGAGATCAAGAAGGTGGCAGGGCAGCGTAGTGAGTATTGGTTCTCGTACTGCAAGGCCGGGTCATACGTCGGTGGAAGGAACCTGATCCATGGTCGGCGCTTGTGCTGAGGTCACCAGGCGGCCGAGCGCCGATGCTAGCAGCGACTGCGCCCATGCACACGACGCCGCATCTGGTCCACCATTTTGCCCATCTGCGAATAGTTGGGGCTAGAGGCTCTCAGTTGCTTGCGGTCTAGCCGGAGAGAAAGGAGAGCTGGGCTGTCAAAAACGTGTGCAGACAGAGCCTCACGGCTTGGCTGGCGCCCCTTGCGTTGCGCTGGAATGCGCCTGGATCTGCACAGGGACCCCTCGACGCTCGACCTTGGAACCACCGACCAGCAACCTCGAGCCTGCAGCAATCTCTGCAGCAACCGCTGAAACAGTCCTGGGCAGCCGCCAGCATGTGTAATTCACCTCCCTCACGACCTTGTTATCAGGGTTCATGATATCGACGTGCGGGGTCACGTTAGATTGGGAAAGTGCGCCGTTGTCGTTTCCCCAGCGCAAAGCGGAAGGTGCTAACCACAAGGGTCACCACAACCAGCGTTGTCACAATCACTGCTCATCACTAAGCTTGAGTGCTCGTACGCTGTAATCAGATGACCTCACACAAATAAAGGACTAATGACGAAAAAGCGACAACTCGCTGAAATTAACTATAGCCAGTTTGCGAGCTGGGCTTTACGGAGTTCTGATCAGTAACAGCGCCTTGAGGTCACCACTGCGCCTGTGCAGACTTACGTAGAGGTAAACACGCTGCTGAAGTGTGAGCAGCGCGTTCGTCGACCCTAGAATTTCTCATTACCTGAAGCCTCATAGTTGGTCCATGACGTTTCTGCTGTTAGTACCGCAGTCGACTCTTGGTGTGCGGCCTTGAAGCCCACGCTGTTGTCTTTGCTCTCGAAATGACAAGAATGGTACAGCTGCGGTCGCCTTTTGTGCAGCAGTTCCTCTTCCTGGACCCCACTGTCAAGATGAAATCGAGAAGAGTGCCACAGTAAGCCGCGATAGTGCAACGATCTCGGCTAGCTGCACGCGAGTGCGGTCGCCCCATCTCCCAGCCTGCTCACCTGGTCCGGAGAACATCGTCTTTCCATCACCCTTTGACTGTATCAGTTGACGACATAGCACATCCTCGCCGCTTCTCGCGATGGCCGAGGCTGTGGGTCTTGTAGCCAGCATTATCGCTGTCCTCGACCTCTCAGCGAAAGTCCTAGGGTACATCAACGCCGTCAAAGATGCCTCGAAAGATCGCGCGCGTTGTGGATTGGAGATCTCAAATATGCACGGTCTTCTCGAGAAGTTGAGGTTTCGAGCCGAACAGCGTAACGACTCCGAAGCTTGGTACGAAGCGGCAAAAGATCTTACAAAAGACGGTGGCCTGCTTGATCAATTCAAGCAAGCTCTGGATCGCTTAGACCACGGTTTGACCGAGGGAGGAAGATTGAGACGCGTTGCTGAAGCCTTGAGATGGAAATTCAAGAAGGAAGAAGTCCTTGAGATCATGACCCATCTCGAACGGCTGAAATCAGTCATGGTGGTCTCGCTCCAGATGGACCAGTTGTGAGTTGTTGATGAACTGCGAGCCTGCAAAGGACTTACCCAGCAAGTGAGTTGTCGAAAGCGATCAAAGACGACACAAAGCACATCCCGGCCATGCGATCAATCCTTGAGGAATCAGAGCAGAAAGCGTTTGTCAATTGGATCTCTTTATCAAATCATCCTGCCGAATACGCCTCAATCTTGAAGGACCGGCAAAAGGGTACTGCAGAGTGGTTCGTGCCCTCTCGCGAAGTCGATGTTTGGCTCAACAAGCCAAAGACAACGCTTCTTTGCCACGGGAACCTAGGAACAGGCAAATCCATGATATCGGCCGTTGCGATCGAGCACCTGCTGCGAACGGCCCGAAACGATACCGTGGGTGTGGCCTGGATATTCATCCACCACAACACACAAAATGATGACGAAGTTGCTGAGTTGCTGGCAGCTCTACTCAAACAACTCATTCAGGTTCACCCAGAAATAGCAGCGTCCGCAGCACTACTGTACAAGAAGCATGCCAAAGAGGAAAAAAAGCTGTCGGTCAACGAAATCTTCAGTGCGCTCAAATCTGCTGTCGTGGCCCTATCGACAGTATACATCATAGTCGATGCGTTGGATGAGTGTGTTAACGACAGCAAACGCGAGCAACTTGTAGAGCATCTCCAAATCCTACAGTCACAGGCCGATGTTCGATTGATGATAACGTCACGAATAATCACAAATTCGCTGCGAGGGGCGGTAAAGCTCGAAGTAAAAGCAAAACCCCAAGATATCAAGCGCTATGTTGCTGGGAAGATTGATCAGCTACCCGACTGCATCCAGCGTGACGCCATGTTGCAAGTGCGAGTTCAAGAGAAGGTTGCAGACGCTGTAGGAGACATGTACGCATGGACGAGTTTAACTAGGAACGCAACACGAGCTGATACTACTCCAGGTTCCTCCTCGCTACACTTCATGTTGACAAACTGCGTGCGCAATTGACGAAAAAGAATGTCATCACTACCCTAAATAGCCTATCACATAGCTCCCTCAACGAAGCGTACCAGGATGTCTTCAAAAGAATCGAAAATCAAGGACCAGAACGAGCGGCACTAGCAAAACGCGTCCTATCCTGGATTACGCTAGCACGTCGTCCCATGACTGCACCTGAGCTGCTTTGTGCTTTGGCTGTAGAATTGGAGACACAGTCTCTAGACGTGGACAACCTGCTCGACATCGGACAGATACAGTCGATTTGCGCGGGATTAATCGACGTCGAAGAGAAACGCCTCATAGTTGGACTGAGGCACAACACCGCGCAGACTTACCTCGAAAGCATCATCGATAAGTGGAATCCTCGCGCCCGAGTGGAAATCGCGGAGACTTGTCTTACATATCTATCTTTCGATACGTTCCGAACTGGCAGGTGTCTGAGCCAAGAAGCATTGCAGAGACGATTCCGAGAGAACGACTTCTTCATGTACGCCGCCGAGCACTGGAGTGAGCATGTACGTACCGTCCAAGAGGAAGTCGGCGAACTGGCGTGTTCATTCCTTCTTCACAAAGGCTTGTATGAGAGTGCTGCACAAACGACGTACATCATGCAAAACCTACGATGGAGGCGACGAATTCTACGCAAACTTGATATTTCTTTCTTCAAGGCGATGACAGCCCTCCAATACGTAGCCTATGAAGGACTGTGCGGCATCATGGAAGGGATTTTGAAGGAGTTGGGAAATGACGCTGCGGATATGCTTAATGCCGGAGTATCGACGAACAAGTACGGAACACCACTTGCTGTTGCTGCAACACGCGGAAATATAGTGATGGTCAAGCTGCTAATCCAACACGGCGCCCAGGATGGTGCGGCAGTGTTGCACTCAGAGATCAACCGGGGCCAAACGAGCGTGGTACGGGCACTGCTTGACTTTGGCGTTTCGGTCAACTCGGTAGATTCAAATTCACAACCTGCATTCATCAATGCGGTCCTATCTGGAAACGCAGAGGTTGTGCGGTTACTGCTCGACTATGGCGCGGACGTTGGATTTATCGAGCCCGGTCAACCGAATGGTACAGCCCTTTTGGCAGCTACACTGACTGGAGATGCGCACATTGTCAGGATGCTGCTTGAAGCCGGCGCGGACATTGGCATCGGAACAGATTTCTACGACAATCCTATTGTAGCAGCCGCGGAAGCGAACAACAAGGAGATCATGGACATATTGCTCGGGGCAACGAACACCGCGACGACCGGCGATCGTCTTTATATGCTTGACGCTGCCCTCTGTATTGCCGCAACATGGGGTCATGAGCAAATGGTAACGATGTTACTCGTTGCAGGCGCCAACCCCAATGCCAAACGACTGAGCAGTGCACTTCAACTAGCAGCGAGAAATGGCCACCGGAACGTCGCAAGTATCCTGGTTGCAGCAGGCGCGGACACCCAAGGTCGTACTCTCGAAGAACTGCTAACTAGCAGCGAGGAGGGATCACAGGACAACGACGATCATTCAGACAGTGATCGCGAATACGACAGCGATACCCCATCCCTCATCAGCTGCAGTCCGACCTTGACAGCAAGTGACAGTGATATGGAAGATTTAGACCTCAAGGGATATACTGCAATGGATGATCTCAGAAGTTGGATCAAGGAAAACGAAGAACGCAATGTTGACATCACTGGTGAACGCGGGACAGGACCTGAGAAAGAACGTCAACGAGTTGTGGAGATGCGTTTGAAACAGAAACATACGACGTGGTAGATTAGCCATGTTGAGAACACGCCCTGAGCTTTAGATTATTATGGGTTGCAAAAAGGTTGGGCCCCTCCCCCTCTATAGTATATGGAGAGGATGTATGATGTCACCCCTCATTGGAGAGCTCTCATTGACCGTAGTGGGTGTGGCATGCAGGAGGGGGGAATATAGGCATGTGGTGACGATTTGGGAGTGCTTCCAGGTCAACTTTCTGACAAAGTCCAGAAAAATCAACACAGATATCCTTGCAACAGAAACAGATCTTGGCTGGTGCTTGTTCAAACGCGCAGTTCAATACGGCCACACCAAAATGATCGCAACTCTGATCGGTTCAGGTGCAGATCCAACTGAAGAACATCGATCAATAACTCTAGTGTTGGCTTCCGAACGTGGTCAGAAACACGTTGTAAATCAGCCACTTGATATGGGTGTCCAGGCAGACTGCTTTCCCACATCCTACCAAAAGCCATCATGGTGGGGTTTTGCCCTCGCCACTCCGAGATCATGCAGAAGCTACTTGATTCGGGCGCTGATATCAATCTCTGTCCTGACAAACTTGATCTGGCGTGCGACGTTCCTCTTTTGGCAGCTATTTTGGGCGATCATCAGTCCATCATCACCACGCTGCTTGAAGCTGGGGCTGATGTGGACCTCAGTGCAAAGCGTTACGGTACCCATCTCCAACCAGTTTCCTTGTGCGGATATGAAAGCACCGTTTGATTACTACTCTGCGCAGGCGCCAGAATCGACAAGTGAGGCAGCTCACTAAGAGCTCTCGCGCTTGCCGCCAGCAACGGTCACATTGACGTCGTAAAGGCACTGCTGCACGCAGGTGCCGACATTGAAGGCGTTACAGAAGAGAGGCATGAAACTCCGCGTGTGTGGAAATACTTGCTGGGAAAAATGCAATTGTTCAGCTGCTCGTTGCTCGAGGTGCTGATACAAGAGGCCGCAGCTTGTACGAAGTATAGGAAGATGCCTCCAAAGAGCGTGAGAAGAACTCGCTGTCAATACGGGACTTGGCGAAGACCTTGATCAATAAGTCTAATCCCCAGATGTTTGTCTCCCTCGCAAGTTCGCTATGAGATAATTCTCGCTATGCGCACAAGACGTACCTTCGGGATACATTTCGGACAGCTGCAGGGGTAGGCGAGCAGACACCCTACGCTAGTCACCAGGCGTCAGGCTATGCAACACAACACATTGGGAAGTAGTTTTCAGCTGAGTCTGCTGTTTCTGGCTATCGCAGGCGTGAGCCGGATCAGGCTGTTGTCGCCCCGCCATTATCAGCCTCGTGTACGTTCAGCTGCGTATAAAGCAGCGCTACCCTCAGCATGCCTGGAAGTCGTTCACTGAATGAGGCACACCACAATGGCATCATACGACCTAACGGCGATCATGGCAGCGCTTCAAGGCTATCAGCAGCGTGAGGTGCGACAACCGAACAATCGCGCTGTGAAGCAGTACTTGCTGAACAAAGGCGTACCCGACCCAGTTGCACGATCAAATTCGATGAACGAGCTTTGTTACTGGTCTGAGAAGGAACTCGATGAAGTCTTCAGCAATCTTGACGTCCCTCATGGTGCACCCCTGGATAAGCTTATATCGTTTCAAGTCCGGCAGCATCAGGGCGGTAATATTTCCACCGCGACCTTCGTCAAGCCAACAGTCCAGGACATACAAGAATCCGTTGCCAGGATGGGTGCGCTGTGCGTTGACAGAACTGGCCGATTCTGTACCAACCCGAAAGAAGGCTTTGTAGCGTTATCCCATGTCTGGTCTCAAGGGCTGGGAGCCGACGATGACAACCGTGGATTGCACCGAGATTTGCTGCAACAAGTCTTCGACAGGGTAGAGCCACTAGGGATCAAGTGGGTATGGACAGATAGCCTGGCCATTCCAGGTGGAAAGCGGGCATTGAACCTTCTGGAAGAAGAGCTCAAGGGCGCACTCATCAACGCCATGGCCAACATCTATCGGGAAGCACGAATGGTTCTGGTTTTTGATGCTCTATGCATCAGACTAAACTCAACTGATCCAGTCCAGGTAGCGATTATGCTCTCTCTTGGAAGTAAGTCTGCCGTGGTACGGCATAATCATGTACGCTGACGCAATCCCAGACTGGTTGACCCGAATGTGGACATACCAAGAAATCAAACTTGCTAAAATGGCTGTTGTTATGACGAAGAAAGGGCCCATCAGTTTCAGTGCTATCTGCCGGCACCTGAAGGACAAGGCCATTACAGAAGCCGGTCAAGAGTGGGAAGGTGATGCCCGCGGGAAGTACCCGAGCATTGCTAAAACGTTCCTTCGACTGCAACGCAATGATCAACTCGGCGTCTCGCTTCCAGATGTTGCTATAGGATGCGGGTACCGTGAAGCTTGGGATAAGCTAGATTATGCCAGGGCGATCTTTCCGACGCTTGGTATTGAGTGGAAGCCACACTACAGCACAGATCAAGCTATGCGCAATGTATACTCAACCCAGCAGCGACATGCATCACGTCTGGTTTTGTTCCACGGTCCTCTACGAGCGTCCTATCCGGGATGGGCACCATCAGTCTTCAACGGGCTCAAGGACTGTAAGATCAACGAACCCGGTATATGGAAGCGTCGCGGTCTGCAACGTTCCTGGTTGACCAGCAAAGTCAAATTCATCTTCGAAAGAGAGGCCGACAGGTTCTACCTAGCCTTAGAGAGCGACTACGTGGCACAGTGCCAGTCAGTTGCTGTCATCAGCGAGCAAACTCTGAAGCACGGTATAGAAAGCGTTCACCTCTTCGAGAAAGCTGTAGAGGATGGCAACGGATACCTTCTCACCGACGAAAGGCTTGATGCCAAAGATGATCGTCGCTTCTCTATCGTTGGCCTTCTAGTCGAGAAGTTCACGTTGGCTGACGACCAGGAGGCTTGGGTATGTCTCACAGTCGCCGTTGGCCAGACTGAGAAGTACTACAAAGCTGAACGTAGCGACTGGCTCTTACTGCACGAAAACCCTACATCGCGGGAGCTGATGAGCGGCAAAGGGGCGTCTGAACTCAACTACCAGCTCACACATACCATCAAACCTAGCCTCATGGTAGATCTTTCGGAGTACCCGCTGCATCGCGCAGCGCAACAGGACGACGAGGAATGGTGCCGAGCTCTCCTGGCAGTCATAGATGTTGAGACAGTCGATGCCAGAGGCTGGACCCCGCTTCACGTAGCTGCAGCTTCCGACAGTCGAAAAGCTATTGCAATCATAATCGACGCTGGTGCCAAACCTGATGTTTTCAATGGCTCGGGAAACAGTGCTCTCATACTAGCTGTCGACAACCTGCATGTAGAGGCCGTTCGGTTACTGTGCAAGAGCGGTGCTGATGTCAACGCATGCTGCAAAGAGGGACTAGGATCAGCCCTCGTCACAGCTGTACGCAGAAACAACCTTGAGATCGTCAGCTTGCTAATTACATTCGGTGCCACTGCCACCGAAGCGGACGCTGCAGGATGGTTACCTCTAGGCGCTGCTGTGATAGGTGAGGACAAGAATGAACGAATAATAGACGTCCTATTGGAGGCGGGTGCCAGCCCGGACAGTCCCAGCCAGGGCGTACTGCTTCCACTCGCTACAGCCGTCAGAGATGGCAACGTCGCAATGACGAGGAAACTGTTGCAGAATAAAGCTGACCCTAATCTCTACATCCGAGGGGTGGACCCGCCGCTATACCATGCTATCGCTGTAGGCAGCTTGGAGACAGTGCAACTCTTGCTGGACAGTGGTGCATCTGTTGATATCAAGTTCAACAACGGTTGGACGCCGATGATGCTTGCAGCAAAAGAAGGCAACCATGAGATTGGAAAAGCTCTACAAGCAAAGGGAGCCAACTTGGTTGGGAAAGGTGCCAATGATCTCACTCCGCTTCACATTGCTGCTATGAATGGTAGCCGTGTCTTCTACAAGTGGTTGACGCAGGCAGGTGCAGATACCAGTGCACGGGACGATCAACAAAGAACGGCGATGGAAGTTGTTGAAGGATTTGAAGTTCTTCCGCAACTGTGAAGATGCAAATGCAGACGCTCATTATTCTACTTCTACACGTCCTGCGCTCAAACCAGCAAATCAACGATTCTTTATTGGACTGCGCACGAGATACAGCCGAGGACACGCCACTATATACTCGGCGACCGCTGAGAAGCCGGCACGTAGCGGGCACCGACACCGTCATTCCCCATTTGCCACTTCGCCAGCTCTTTGAAGAACGTTTTGTGCACCCATCCTTCCTCTAGGTCCGGATTAAATCGAGGTCCGAACTCGAGACCATCGATATGAGCTGTTCCACATCACTACCGCATTTTTGGCGGCTCGTGCAGCGCATGCCTACCCTAGCGAGAGTTGCTCAAAGGCAATCAAATCGAGCGCACCAAGAACAGTGGGGGGTGCCTCAATCGCACACAGCAACTCCTTCGCCGCGTTCTCCTTTGAGCCAGCATTCTGGGTGGAATTCTTTGGCAACGCAAGCACTCCGAACAACCTGACATTTGCCATTTCTCGGCCGCATTCACGAATATGGCGGCCATCCTATCATCCAGCCTGGTGGCATCACCATGGGCAGCACGGTCTTCGAACCGGAAGGTGGAGACACTGTTCGCACGACCAGCCCTGACGGTGGGGTCTGGAGAACAACGGTCGAACCTGACTACTACAAGAGTTCGGATAACTTCCCAGAAGGCACAGAGTTCGTCTCAACGCTCAACTTTGGTAACGAGAGTCTAGACATTGCGAAAGGCCTTGCAGTAACCTCCGTCACATACCAAGGTGACAAGGTGGCATACTTTGAGCTCGGCAATGAGCCGACGAACTACGAGGAGAGCCGATGGAATCGTTCGACAGATGCGTATATGAGCGAGTGGAAACAGTATACTCATGAAATCGACGCGGCTGTCAACGCGAGCGGCGACAGCAACCTCACCAGTCAGCGATGGTGGGCATCATCCGCCACAACAGACGATTTTGGTCTTGAAGTGCGACCAGTTACTCTCATTCCGGCTGGCGTCGACTCAGAGGACCAGGTCGGCATCTACTCGATTCACTCCTATGCGTTCTCAACCTGCGATCCAAAGCGCGCCGCACTGGCTACGATCGCGAACATCTTGAACCATACCGAGCTCACTCACTACTGCGATGAGGAAATCTACCCTTCTGCTTGTGTTACTCTTGAAGTTGGAGCGCGCTGGAACATCGGCGAGTTCAACTCGGTCTCCTGCTCAGGCGCGCCTAACGTCACAGACACTTTTGCGCAAGCTCTTTGGGTGATTGATAGCGAGCTCATCTACGCTACTCGCAATGCAACAAATACCCATCTCCACCAAGGCGCGACTCTCGCTCTGCAGTCTAAGGACCAAGTCAACACGCCAGACGCGAACGGCACACCTGGCTTCAGCACATATTCGATACTTTACCCGCGAGAGAGCAACCTGCGAGGCCCATCTCGCACTTTGATTTCGTTCCTTGCTCAGCTCTTCATGGCTGAAGCCTTCGCCACTTCCAGTACACGTGTCCGAGCCCTCGATGCACCTTCTGGTGTCGATCCAGAGTTATTCGCGGCGTATGCGTTTCACGTTGACGATCGTATCTCTAAACTTGCACTTGTGAACATGAAGCCATACTACGCCAACTCAACGTCCGGCTTTACCATTCAAGTGGATCTGTCTTCCCTGACGCATACTGGCAACGGCGGTTGTGTTCGTATGAAGCGTTTGACTGCGCGCTTTGTCAATACTGAAGACAGCAATATTTCGATGTGGGCTGGTCAGTCGTTCCCTATGGGTGAGCCGGTGGACGACATGGCAATCGATATGATCGGTAAGGACGCCAAGGTTAGTGTCAGAGGCAGTGAAGCTGTTTTGGTCTTCTTCGACGATGTGTATGGACTTTGCGAAATAAGAGCGTGGAACAAGATAGTCAGCATCCAACCGGATAGATACTAAGAATGTGCTGGTATAACAGGGGCATAAGCTTTTCAGCGTAGCATTGATATTCGAGGAAGAAATGATGCTATGTACAAGTGACGCATCCGTTGTCGACAGTGCCGGTGGCATCTTGCACCAAATCGAGGTCGACATAGATGAGGTCGGTCTCTACTCACGCCTTGATGGTTTACTCGTTCTCGTCGACAGCGATGACCGTAGACTTGAACTTCCTGGCAGAAACCTTGCGCTTGAACAGAATATCGAGTTCGCGGTAAGAGCGGCCCTTCATTTCAGGAAGACCAAAGTAGGCGGAGACAAGGCAAACAAAAGCAGTTCCTCCCCAAACGTATCCGCACTTGCCAGCCATGTTCCATCCGGTGGGGTTGAGCATCTGCGAGGCGAGGTAGATCATGGGGATCTCAGCAACGTAGTAGGCGGCACGACCGACACCAGTAGACAGAGGACGCAGACGGATGGAGGATGTCTCGGCAATGATGGAGTAGGAGATGGGTCCAAGGGACCCGGCGAAGACAAAGGAGATGATCACACCGAGGCAGGCTTGGGCGTAGTTGGTCGCGACGCTCTGCGTGATAGTGGCACAGATACCGAGGATGATAAGCAAGGTCATGTTGACAATGGCACCGCCCAGGAAGATTGTTCGGCGACCAAACCAGGCGCTGAGAGGCCACGACAAAGCGTTGGCAACCAACTGAAGGCAGGAGTTGATGAGGTTGAGCTTAAAAGAGAAATCGGGCGACATGCCAGCCTGCTCGAAGAAGAACGTAGCCTGGTTGGCGATCAAGTTACCGGCGAAGTTCTGAGACGCGTAGATCAAGCAGGTGATGATTGTTCGCCTGAGATCGACGCCCTTGAAAAGGTCAAGCAGAGTTGGGTCGCCACCAAGGTGGGCTTCGATATTGACAGTTCGCTCCATCATGGCAAGGGTCTCATCAGCAGACGCCTGGGTACCGCTCCTGCGACCAAGACGTTTGATCGACTTTAGAGCCTGCTCCTTCTTACCATGGCGGACAAGCCACCATGGAGACTCGGGAGCAAAGAAGATGAGCACCATCAAGGGAAGAGGGAAGACCCACTGCAGTGCAAGAGGTCCGCGCCACGCCCATTCATCTTGACGCTTGTTGTAGCTGTAGGTGGCCGCCGCGACGATGATGCTTCCAATGGACCAAGACATCTGCAGAGTAGCAGTACAGACACCACGGAGGACGACGGGCACGACCTCAGATGCGTAGGCTGGAGAGTTGGCGATGAACATACCCCAGGGAACACCTTCGAAGGCCTGACCAATGACGAGCACCTCGAGCGACTGGGCGAAAAAAGAGATGAAGATGGTAGCATTCATCAGAACCAGCGCCAAGAGTGTACACCATCGGTATCCGATACGGTTGGTAATGGGACCAGCAAGGAAGACACCGACGAAGGCACCACATTGACCGGCTTGGAAAAGAGAGCTCTGCCATTTTGTAGGAATGGCCTTGGATCCATCGGCAAGGACAACGCCGTATCTTTCCTTGAAAGCGGACAGGGCAACAAAGTTTCCGTTCAAGAACATGTCGAAGGACTCCATGACCTGTCGAATGTTAGCTACGGCTACGACCATGGAGCACTGAGACATACGATGGTGAAGCAGAAGATGAACGCCCAGAAACACGCCATGGGGTGGTCCTTGACGGCTTCCCAAACACCCATCTCGTTTTCACGGGTCTCGGCCTCATAGGAAGCGGCCAAGAGCTCTTTGTCGCTGAGGGTCTCATGCTGAACGACACCCTGCTCATTAAGTTCCGGGTCAACCTTCTTTTCGTTGATTCCGGACGACATCTTTCCTGATCTCTGGTTGTGGATGTGCAAGTGCGAAGGAAGCGACGAGCAATGCAAAGCAGAGCCAAGCAGGCGGCGTACATGCTTAAATACACACCGATTCTCATACGACACCCCAACTCCACTTTCCAGGAGCGCTACGAAGGAATCTACATCTGGAGGTCGGGGTGGTAGCGCAGAGCCAGTACGGGGTATCCCCACCAACCCCCGTGGGTAATGCATGCGCTGCCTTCATCGCAGAAAGCGCCGAGGAGTCCAACAAGAGGGTACAGAGCGCTAGGTACCGGGCTCTTCCGTAGGCATAGCCATTGCCAACGAAAGACCTGTCTAGCACACGAAAACAAGGTCGTGACGGTCGAAGCACACGGCTCAGAGTCGTCACAAGGCCGACTCGACCCTGTTTCGCCCATGGGGCTCCGCAGTAAGCTTTTTGGTGGCCGAGCTTAGTGGTGTCACAGACCTTAGCCCCTCATTTCATTAGTGGATTATCTCGCGTGGCGCCCGTTATGACGCTTGGTACAAACTTTTAGTCCGAAACCAGCCAAGTTCGAGCCTCCTCATTGAGCCGCATTGCAACGGAAGAATTTACTAAGCCGTACTCCGTGTGCGGAAGCGCCTCCTGATGAGTGTTAGTAGCAAGCAACGGCGCGCTCTCTAGGCCAACCGTACGATAACTGTTCGTATTGACTATAACGGAACAGAAGGCATTTCCGTGATCCATTTCCGAGCGCTTCGTGCTTGCTAGACGCTGCTGTAAGAGGAGTCTGGACGCATCTCGAACAATTCGGCAGCTTCATGTGACTACTCGAAAGCATCACAGTGGATTGATACACGTCAATTGCAGGACAACAACGATTAATGCAAGTGTTGTTGTATGGTAATGCTTCCGTTGGAAATGATAGGCAAGAGTTCTAAAATACAACCAGCCGGCCACTTAACCGATTACGTGCTGTGTAACATGGCCAGCCGTCTCGTAGAGACCCTTCACCCTTCGTATCGATTTCCACAGTAAAGGAGCTTACTCGTTGTCGAGTCCCATTACCGTCAGCATGGATCACTTCCATCAGAACGATCCTCGCGCACTTCATGTACTCCAGGTATCCCCTTATTCGATCAGGTTTGCCCGGTCTTGCTACCGGACGTCGCTCGTACAACCCCCCTCGTACTATTCATCAATATTGCGGTATCAGTTGGTCCGTACGGGACCTTGCTTAGACTGTTATGGACTAGCACGTTCCAGGGCCAGTATATATCGTCTTCTCCTAGCTAGATAGCACTTCAGCGCAGTATTCCATCGACCCGATAGTCCTACGTTATCGTTCACCGTAGCTATCAGTGTACTACAGCGGCTCACGCCGCCACAATCGACCTTGCAGATTTTGACCACTCCAGCGCTGGAAGTCGTTGACGTTTAGCGTGCATAAAGATGACTTTCGACTTTGCTCATCAGGGCAAATCAGGGCAGCCTTCGCTGACTTGTGGACCGAAAAGTACGATATGTCCGCCGCATCATTGGGTGACATCCCGACGCGGAGATGCAATATGTTTGTAGAGAGAACAGGATCAGAAAGTAGGTTCAGATGCGCCCATTGAAACGATCGAGGTGCAGCATCCATCAACCTACTGGAGTCCACATTAGTGGCAGCAACTCACATCACTGTACCTGTTCTGAGGTCCCTCTGCCTTTGCAGAAAATAGATACTTTTGCCTCGGGAGGTATATCAGCCTTCGACTGTCCCTTGTGCTGCAGGTAGGCTGCGCTTGCCCTCGAATTTCAGAAAAGCGTTTGGCGATGCCCTACGTTCAGGTCGCGACGTCCTTCTCCAGATGGAACTCGAAGGCCGCACCGCGCCAACGGCATTACACCTCCCCAAGAAACACTCACTCGTAGACTGGATCATGGTTCCACTTCGACTCCTCGCCCGGTACATCGGTCCGCTACGATGAATCGCCGGTATTCCGGAACCCATGTATACGAGCTTTACACAGCCACTTCATCAACCAACGGTATTCGGGACTTCTTTTGACAGCGAATCGGCTTGGATAGCGAGTGTGCGCTCGCAGCCCAAAAACCTTCTATGCTAGTATGTTATGTGAAAGCGTTCTCATACAGCCTCTCCGCCTCGTTCAGTCTCGATCCGTTTCGGATATTGATCTCACAATCAAATGTCAGAGGTCCACCGCGCGACACGATCAACCCCCGATTGACAAGAGTTATTGATTCTGCGAAACAGAGCACTTGGTGCATACTCAATGGACATCCAATCTTCATTTTATGCGACTTTTGAGTCACAATTCTACCGCCATGCCCTTATTACTGCTAGCTCTTTTCAAGTGGCTCCCTGCCTGCGCTAGGATGATACTCGTTTCGAAGATGCATCTTTACCCAGTATCAGTTTGCGGCAGTTGCTCTGACGTGTTGATCCTCAACTCTAATCTTGCGCGAAGACTCGTGATATGGCTACTGGCCTTTATGACTCTCAGATGCGACCCAGTGGCAACATGGGGGCTTTAATGCCTGTGGCCTTGACGCCTCGATGATAGTCTTGGGCGACGCTCCGTAACCCGACGGCAACAAGTAGAGCTGATATGAAAATTGTCAGTGGATGCAAGCGTGCATCTCTGGTATGAGTAAGCCAGAACGTCACAGCTCAACATGCATGGCCTTCGCATGCGGATTCGTCGTTTTCGTCGAAATCTCTTCGTTCTCTGCTGAATATCGATGTGGCATTTCTCACGCCTTGTTCTTTGACCAAACCAATCCTCCAGCGTGGGCACCAGTACCCTGCTCAACGTACTTGCAGGTCGTGAAGCTCTCCCACAGATCGGTAAAGAAGTTGCTCTTCTGCTGAATGTAACGTTCACCGAGTAGAGGTGCAATGGCCAATGTTGCCTCCTCGGCGTGGTAAAAGGGGATGCGCCTGTTTAGCATTAGTGGTGCTGATCATACATATTCAATCAAGGAAGATATCGGGCTGCAGCTTGAACATTTCGAAATTGGAATGAACTTACGGGAACATGTGGTGCACGACGTGGTACTCGATGATGCCGTGGAAGATGTGACGACCGATGAAGCCGAATTCGCGGTCGACAGTCGAAGCAGCGCCCTTGATGAAAGTCCAATCCTCGGCTTCGTAATGCGGCGCCTCCGGATGTGTGTGGTGAAGGTATGTAATAGCAACTACAACATGTTAGCTCCAACGTCCTGTATTATCGAAATGAGAGATTCCTACCGATCCAGTGGTTCATCCACAAGTAAGGCAGACCGTATGCCAGCAGAACAGTCCAGCCTCCAACGCTCTTCGAGGCCAGGTACAGCGCACCCATAGTAATGGCAAGTCCAAGGTTGCTCAGCGCGACGAACGGTGCCTCAGAAGGAGTGAAGACGTGGGCCGTGGGATTAAGATGACTCTGCTTGTAGGAAGATGAAGTGAAGCGATCACTCTGGGTCAAACTCTTCATGCCCGCACCAGCGTTCATGAAGATGTACGCTGGCCAGCCAAAAAACTGGTGGAAGAGCAGCGCAGCAAAGGTGACAACCGGTGTGTCCGCAGCTGCGTGATCCATAATCTTTTCCAATATGGTCGGCTCAGTCTTCCTGCCCTCGACTTCGGACTTGCGGTGCGGCACAAAAACGGTGTCCTTCTCCATGTGGTTGTGGTAGCGGTGGTGACGTGCGTGGCTAAACTTCCAGCTGAAGAAGGGGACCATCAACATGCTGTGCAAGAACCAGCCAGTTATCGCGTTGACGGTGAGGTTTGCAGAAAAAGAGTCATGGCCGCAGTCGTGCGCAAGAATCCAGAGACCAGTGAAGAAACAGCCTTGAACGAAGCTGTAGAGGGCCCATAGCGGAACAGTGACGAACAAAGGCGCATCGAGTCCGGAAAGCCAGACGGCAGAGTAAAAGAGCGAGCTCACGATGATGGAATCGCGGACAACGTAGGAGAAAGAGCGAATCATGGAGCGTTCGAAGCATTTCGCTGGGATCGCATCTTTCAGGGTCTTAACGTCAGGAAGCGGCTTGACGTCGGCCACCGCAGTGAGCCTAGTCTTGACTGGAGGCACCTGAACCCGAGAAGTTGTCGTGATCATTGTCAAAAGAGAAAGATGGAAAGATGAACGCCCAAACATGCCGCCAGATGCTCAACTTTTGTACCAAACGACCCCAGGCAGGAGGCGAAAAAATCTGCCCCTTGATACAACCCAGCCTAAGCTCAAACGACCCGAGATACGTTTCAACATTGCAAAGATGGCCGTGCGCAAAAGACACCGCCTTTCTTGTGTCGTGTCGATGGCAGAAATAGTGGGTCTCGAACTGAAATTTCGATGTCGGCGCACAGTCCGCCTTGGCTGTTCAGGGACGAAAACGTGCGGTGAGTGAGCTTGGTACGAGTCAGGATGGCCGGTAAATGTCAAAAGCACGCGACCGAAGGCGCGGAGTATCTGTATTCGCAAGTCATCGAGTTTGAAGGTGCTTTATGAAAGGTGTCGCAAGATCTGTATTGTAACGACTCGTATTTCCAAGATGTCAGGGTCCAAGAGATGAGCCGCAAGGTAGCCGCATCGGGGTCAGATAACACGAAGTACCCGTGGGCCCTGAAGATCTACTACGGGGCTCGGCAGTTCCAGGACGGCCCAGGCATCGGAGGTGTAGCCTATTTGGGGTTTCTATACCGACTGCAAGGCTGTTAAACGTCGTGCTGCAAAAGAACAAAGACGCGTCAAACAGGCCTCCTCGTAGAGCATCACAGCATCTCCCAACCCGCAATCTGACAACATGTGTACTTTATAACTGGTAACATGTTGAGATTGAGCAGCTACTGCTGCTCGCTCTCACACAATCGAAGTTCGTGTTGCAGAAAGTCAGTGTCTGGTACTGCACCTCGCTTGGACCGCCGGCCGGATCAGCCCTGACCGACGCACAATTCGGCAGAATCGTAATTGGCGATGCCCATTTTGACCTGAACCTGTACACAAACACAACGTCGGTACAAGTGTCGCTAGAAGTCAACCATCTTGCAAGAAGCTGCATCGCTTGCTAGACCTGTGGATACGTTTGTCGAGGGAAGATGCTAAGCTCGGCAGATGCACAGGGTTCAGTGTCTGTGTCAGGGCTTACGCTCGGGTTTGATTGGCTGCAGCAAGATCAATGAGTCGTCTATTCATCCTCGTCCTGCCTCTTTCCTGCGACACCCATCACTTGCACGCTAAACCCGACATATGTTCTACTCCACACGACGATCGTTTTCCAGGATCGTATTTATGAGACGTTCCTTGATCCGATACGTTCCCACTCTTGCATACTTGTTTTCCTTGACCTTATTGACAATGAGCTCTCGATGGATGTACTCTTCTGTCGTTCCAGGCTATGAGTTCTATGATGGGCAATGCCCATGCCGTAAACTGAGACGCTTGTGCAGAACCGCGTAGTGATTCTTCTTCGTTGTCCAAGTACACTTGCCCCAGATGGTTAAAGCGTTGTTGTCGGTTGCGGGACCAGCGCGCGACGGGTCGTCCAAGGCTCTGTGTGTATATAAAGCCGTTCTCTGTTTCAACCCAGTTCCAAAGTGCTTGCTAGGCTCAAGCAAGCATGGGGTAAGATGACCAGTAAGTCTCAGCTCTGCATAATGTAGCCGACCATAGACGTTGTTCTCACTGACGGGATCAACATGCGAGCCTGGGACGCTAGCGTACGGATCGCAACAATTGTCGCAGTAAGGGCATTCGCCGTAGGATAGTTCTACTCCTTCATCTCTGCCTGCCCAGCTCCAACTTGGGGCGCGGTAGACGTCAGCTGGCTTGCCTTTGTCCTGCCACGGTAAATTGAACGACAGCTGTTGCTCAAAGTGGCCGGCAATGTATCGATGATCGTAGAACTGTCCAAACCTTTCCGCAATACCAGCTATGGGAAGCAACATGTCTTTGTCGGTGTAAGACAGACCACAGCGCGCATAGTCATAAATCATCTTCTGCCACGCGATTCATACGGCAGTGTTCATCTCTGGACGGAGTTTCAGCCCGAGATTGCCATCAGGTGGCACATCGCCGAGGTCAAAGGGCCACCGCACAACACTGTCATATTGCGGATGTTGTGCAACGGCGTGCTGCGCCTGCCACATCTGCTGCTTCCTTGTTGCGGTATCAGTCGGCCCTTACGAGACCCGATTACCCTTGCTTAGACTGTTCTGTACTAGCACGTTCCAGGGCCAGTGTATATCGTCATCTCCTGGCTAGATAGCAACTCAGCGCAGTATTCCATCGATCCGATAGTCCTACGTTATCGTTCACCGTAGCTATCAGTGTACTACAGCGGCTCACGCCGCCACACTTGTCAATATCACGATCACCCACTTGGTCAGCATCAGCGACTTGCGTCTGTCCATTGCGACCAGGTCGACGGGCGGTAAGCTATTGCACGAGTTTGGATGTCTTCATTTTCACCATCAACTGTCTTGTCATCGTCGTTGTCATCTGCGGAGGGATCTACAACAGAGTCAACCTCCAACTCACCGTACCAATCGGGAGGATGTGTGTGAAGCGTACGGAATTCATCGTAGGCATCCTCAAATGTGTCTGCATCAAAACCTTCCACATGTTTGAGATCGTTGATATCACGGAAGGCGTGGTTAAACATCGTCTTGACACGCGAGAAGTCCTCCCGGTTGCGTAAACTGGAATACTTGGGGAAGAACTTAAGGAATTTGTGACACTAATAGCTACGGTAAACGATAACGTAGGACTATCGGGTCGATACATACTGCGCTGAGTTGCTATCTAGCTAGGGGATGATGACTACATACCTGGCCAGTAACACTAGACTAAGGTAGTCTGTCAGAGGTATAGTCAGACCTTGTATGGACCAATCTATACCGCAACATATACTAACAAGTGTATGGTGATGACCAAGTGCCTAAGGCAAAAACTTACTCGGTATCTTTGTATCTAACGCGCGAAAGCACTCGACCCAAAGCTCTGCACTGACAGACTTTTGACTCGGATCACTAGCAAGCGCTCCGTAACCATGGTCGAACTGCACTACTTCCACGTCTTCGAACCCTGCGTCTTTCAGCAGATCGGGCAGTTTATATGCAATATCGATGTTCATGCCGAACTCCGCGGTCGCCCACTGTTGCAAAGCAATCTGCTTCTGAAGTTGTGGTCGGGGGCTCGGGTGCAGATTGGTTTCGGAAATGAACTCGATTTCGACGAGATGTAGGTATTCGCCCGGCATCAGGATAGCCATATAATTGTTGATGGCGTTGGACCAGTCTGCATTCTCCAAGCTCCGCACGAGGAGGCACTGGTGGATTACGTCAAAGGTGTTATCCCAAGAGGCGGGAAAGGGTTTCGTGATATTGTGGGAGTGCAGTGTGATGCCAGAAGCCTCTTACGCTTCAAGAGGAGGGAAGAGTGCAGAGTCAATGTCAACGCTGACAAGCTCTAGTTGACGTTTTGGAAGTTGTTCACGCAGGCCACGCAGCTACGCCCTTATACTGTCTCGAGTTAGCAAAGGGACATATAAGTTGGCAATTAAAAATCTCTGTCATGTCAAGAAAGACTTACTTACCATCCGCACATCCAGTATCGAGCACCTTTAGCGAGTTGCTTCCCGCAGTAACGACCGATGCTAACAAGAGTCCATCTGTAGTCGTTGCCAACAAATCGTGCTGTTTCGTCAAGCGCTCAATCTCGCTGGCATGGTGAGGTAGCATACACACCCCCTCTGAGCCGAGAAAGCCAACTGACTCTCCTTTTGTCTCGGTGACTGTCGACATAGTTTCGTTGGAACTAGGGTGGGTTCAAAGCAGGATGTCAGTGAATGATTAGTCGATGTTGTCCGGAACCATCACGATACAAGCTAGTAATATCACATTGCGTTACAATCTGTGTTCCATTGGCGCTCGTCTTTGTGAACATGACCGGTATCCACAAATCAGGCTGCTGATTCACCATCGGAGCAGTTTGGTCATTGTGCTTGTCGGATTGGTGGTTATGCTTGGCACAACTCGGCTAGTCGACACTCCCGTTTGTGCGTCGGAGTTGCGTGGACAATCGCCCCTAGGAGCGATCCGGTCAGTACATTCCTCAAGACGCAAGTCCGACGCAGGCTTTGTGCCCTTTCTCTTCGTACTGCTTCTCTTGTAAGATCTTAGGCCCAACTTCTTCCAACCTACTTTCTTGACCTAGAACGAACCAAATACACTGGCAGAACACGACTCTGTTCTATTCGTTACCATCAGCTTATCTGTCAAATCTACAGTTGTGATATCAGCACTATAAATCTTCTTCTGCAAGCCACACACTTACGCAGAGTCTGGTTTAGCAGAGCTCTACCCTGTCCCAACGTTCCCCGGCTTCGGTCTTCACGCCCGCATGCCATTCAGACCTCGTTCAATTTGGCAAATTCTCAAGGGTGCAAGTTGCTACGCTGCTTAGATTCAGCATCTAGCCCGTTCCTCCGTCGCAGTCAGCTCTCATCAGGGAAATATTTGTGTTCTTTCACCCCCTGCTTTGCAGTTCTCCCGTACATTTCCAGCCAACCTTATCGACACCTTCAATATGACTGCCAATAATTGTTTCACTTTCGCAGGCCAGCCGAATCTGAACTTTGGTCAGATGTTCGAGCCCCAGTACCGTTTCAAGGCCGGCGAAACGACGAGATCATGGAACAGCGACAAGAACGCAGCGAGACGTCAGTTCCAGCCGCGGCCTGGTGTCTACCGGGCACGCGAATTAATCGCTGGGTTCGGCCCTTGTAAGTAGACGTCTTGAGAGTCGCACTCACGTGTTTCCACTGACACAACACCTTCCCGATTAGTGATCGACACATGCATACACCGGGTGGGACGGGACCGGCCCGAAGCGACGCGCGATGTGCTGCTCGACGGCCTGGCTGCCATTTTAGCCACATCGGGGCGAGAATCTAGCCTCTCATTGCGGCACGGGGCACATTCTGAGATGGCTGACCAGGCTGACACAATCAGTGCGGCTCTTGTCGGCTATGTGCGCGAGTCCCTGGATTACGAGAATGCGAACCCCAAGTTCAGCATGACAAGCCACTGTGATGGTCACTTATGGACGCAGGAGGTGGTGGGAGAGTTGATGGGTTCGCGGGGCGACTCGGTAGTCATGCAGCTGTACAACGAATGGTCGCACCGCATCGTGCTATTGCGAAACGCCCTTATGCCATTTGAAAATTGGGATGAGGTCCCTATCGTTATCGTGGCGGAAGGATCTCAGGGCATGCGCATACTTGAGACGCCCTCTGACTCCTTCATTAGACATGTCCTCTCTGGTCGTCTTCCGCAGAAGGCCGTTGTAGACATGGCAAAGGCTTTGACGGCGCCTAGTTTACCATCTGGCGGCTTCGGATTCCAGTACTCACAGGGTGTCGTCTTGCCAGCATTCCTGAACGGTTCCTCTTCGCGTAGCCTACTACGCTACTATCCAGCCCGAGAGACTGCCTCAGCGTCTGAAGTCTTGTTCGACTACGAATACGCGTTGTACGACAATGCTGAGAAGAGCGAATTACCTCCGGAGACCGCCAAGCTGTCGCAGGGTACAGCTGAGTCTGCCACAGATGTGTCCAAACTCAAGAGTCGCACCATTGCAGGCACTGACGGCTCCAGAGCTCATCTCCGGATCGAATTGGAACTGCGAGGCCATCTTGAGGCAGTATTCCCTGTTTGTCTGGGTCAGATCGCTCGTGGTTGGCGTTATGCAAGCCGGGTTCCTAGGAGCAACGGTCACTACCCGGCAGACCCAGGACATACACTGTTTCACAGGGTGGACGACGCCCTCGCCTTACCAGGTCTGGTATTCTCAGCTTTGGCATCGGAGCAGCACGATGACACCCTCCATGTTTTTCCTATCTCCGACCCTTTACTTGGCCTCGCGCTGTTTGGGAAGCTCTACCCGGGCAACGTCGTGTCGTTGAGCGGTGTTGACGACTTTGCCAGCACCTTGCAAGCAGGTAGAGGTTTCGGGACGAAGTTCGTTCATTGGCAGAGGACCTAGGAGATTCTGACATAGTTATTATTGATCGTGTGTCGTGTTATCTTGGTGTTGAGGTTCGTGTACTCATTCTAGTTCCTACCACGCTGTGCTCAGGAGCGCCAATGAGTTATTCGTAGTTCAACACCTTGCGAGAAATGAAACACAATATTGAGTGCCCAAATTCACTATGCTGTCTTGACGTGAAAACGAATGATGACACCTCCAGAACCTACAAAGCATCACAAGGCCGGTATGCCGGAGAGATTGTCTAAGACTAAAGAACCAATCACCATCATCGTGAAAGTGTCCGCATCGTTGGGTATGCTCGTGTAATCCTGCTGTACCATTCTGCCAGTCAAGTGTCTTCGTGGCTGTTTGCTTCGTACAAATAGCCATTGCTGTTCCTGATTGGCTTCCCATAGCGGCGCAGCAGCGGGTAAGGGCATGTCGAGAACTAGATCATCATCCAGTGCCTCATAAAAGAAAGGATTTTGCTTCTGCAAGCGGGTGGATATAACGTTGATAATTTGAACGAGGAATATAGTGCGGCGAAGTGTTTCGATAAAAGCCCAATGCGTCCAGTCGTTGGCGGAGTCATCGACAAGGTCTTGCCGATGCCTTTGTGCAAATTTTCGGATCATCTGATGTGGTTGCTTGTTAGCCATCGGTCGTCAGAAAAATGTCAGAGGCACCATTTCATGCGTTTACCTTCAGAAGAAATGTATGGTGTAGCTCGGCACTCCGAACTTGTTCTGTTGTGTCACTGAAGAAGCCGAGGACCTGAAAGACGATCGTAGCATGGAGGGTCGCTAGCATGTCAATGTCGGATCTGCAAGAGTGCTGTAGAGTGGTGGGAATGTCAGCCGTGCTAAGCTGCTGAAGGTATACGTAGGATTTCTTACAAAAGATTCAATCAGGCTATCACGTTCTTTATTGATCATGTCATAGACGAAGCTACGACCGCTGGGCATGGCGTTGCTGTACGCCTGAATGCAAATCATGGCCCGGGCGATGGGCTCTTTTACGTCTCCCTTGTTGCAGTGATATATCTGGTCGTGGATAAAGGGTGGGGTAGGAGGGAGTTGAGAGGTCATCATGGGTAGATAGCTCATGACAAGGCTGACCATATTCTCGGCCGAAATGGCAGGAGCACGGTTCGTGGATGACGGAGACCACTGAAGACGCTGGTCTGGCTCTCTGGTATCCAAGACAGACTGATGTGTACTGTCGAGTCCGTCGATGCTGGGATTATTCGTTTGAAGCCCGCTGCCCCAAAGCGCTGCAAAGCTCACGTTTCCATTATCTAGTGAAGCTCCCAACCATTCGTCTCCGGTTGTCGACAACATCTGGAAGGCCATGTTTTCGACGGAAGGATGGCTACCGCTGCTACCGCCAGCTTGGTTGATATCCAGGTTCCAGTTGGGAGTAGTGTGCTGCGTCTCCGCGATGGTAACGGCTTGCGGGTGGGCCGATGAAAATGCAGCGGTCATGTTAAGGTACTCACTGCCCACCATTTCTGGCAGGCCGCCATGGTCACGATCTTCTGCTTGCGGCACGGAGGCGGGGAATGCTTCTGGGGTGATGTCTCTGTGGCCGTCGGCAGAACTGTCTGCCGCGTCCCCAACGTATTTGCAGATGATGCCGCGGTTCGAGCAGCGGCGACATGACGGCTGGCCCTGATCGCAACCTAGCTTCGACACGGCGCACGCTACACAAGACCGTTGTTTGGAACGCTTGGGCTTGGCAAAAGTTTGTGCGCAGCGCCGTTTGTGACGGTCGCATAGATCTCCTGGCGGTTACGTTAGCCCAGGTCATGTGATGTGCGCCACTGGGGCGTTGGAGGTGTATCCACACGTCGCTCATAGAGTTTCCCGCAGATGCCACACTGATGACCGTCGCTTGGGTCAGTTAATCCGCGTCTCCGACTTGCGACATGTGCTCGCGACATGTTGTATCGTAAAGCAAGCAGCGAGGCTTCTCCAACCGACAGGCGGACAAGGGCAACTAGCTACCGTGTCTGTGCGCGCAATGCGCGGATTCGCGCAATGCGCCGAGACGCTTTATGCACCCATACTTCACAACACCACAACTCAACGCCACAATGACGCTAGAGGAAGCCATTAAAGAGATAGATGCTATGATGCCATGCAAAAACATCCCTTGGACGCAATTATCCATAAAGCATGGTGTTGTGCGCTCTACGTTGATGCGCAAGTACCGAGGAGAAACGTGATCGTGTGAAGAGCAGGCAATTGCACAACAAAAGCTCACTCCACAACAAGAGGACAAGCTTGTCAAGTATATAGAGGAGCTTACAGCCCGATGTCTACCTCCTACAAGGGAAATGATAGCAAATTTTGCGTCATCAATAGCCACAGAGCCAGTCAGCGAGAGCTGGGTTACCTGCTTCATCAACAACCACTCAATCCATCTCATCTCTCAATACTCAACGGGTATGGACAGCAATTGCCACAACGCCGATTCGTATACCAAGTACAAGCTCTATTTTGACCTGTTGCAGTCCAAAATTGCCCAATACAACGTCAACGCTGAGCACACATACAATATGGATGAGAAGGGCTTCATGATCGGAGTCACCACAAGGACCAAACACGTCTTCAGTAGACGTATGTGGGAGAAGAAGGAGGTTACAGCAACTACTCAAGATGGTAATCATGCCTGGGTGACGCTTATAGCATGTGTGTGTGGGGATGGATTGGCACTGCCACCAGGCCTCCTATACGAGTCTACCAACAACACTATACAGTCAAGCTGGGTGGAGGAAATCAAGCCAGGAGTACACTCTGTCTTTGTTTCCTCGTCACCTTCAGGCTGGACAAACAACGAGGTAGCCCTCGCTTGGCTCAGACAGGTGTTTGATCGCTACACCAAGAAGAAAGCATGAAGAAAGTACCGCCTATTGATACTGGATGGCCATGGATCTCACGTCACGATGGATTTCATCAACTACTGCAATCAGAACAGGATACTCCTGGCTATACTTCCTCCTCATTCAACCCACACGCTCCAGCCACTCGATGTGGTGATGTTCAAGCCTCTCTTGACAGCATACTCAAAGGAGCTCACAACACACCTTCACCATGGCCAAGGACTGTCGGTTATCAAGAAGAGCGACTTCTTCCACCTGTTCTGGAAGGCGTGGACAAGTACGTTTACTCAGGGGCTGATACTCAGGTCCTTTGAGGCAACGGGTATAGCACCCCTTCAACCCAACGTCATCCTCAAGCGATTTGCTAAGCCTACCCCTGAGGGCTCCGATAGCAACAAAAGCTCTTCTTCAGTCTATAGCGGCAAGGATTGGCTCAAAACAGAGACTCTGTTGCGCAAAGTAGCCAAAGACAAAGGCAGTGAAGACCTGAAAAAGATCAGGCGCTCACTCCACCACATCTCAGTTCAAAACTCAGTCCTCCACCACGAGATTACAGGCCTCAGAGAGGTTCTTAAGACTCAAAAGAAGCACAAGAAGAAGAGCAAGCCTCTTGAGCTTCAGCATCACAAGGACTACCACGGTGGAGCCGAGTTTTACTCTCCTAGTAGAGTAGAGAAAGCACGTGCACGTGAGAGGGCAAAACAACAAGAGCAGAAGGCAGAGGAGCTCAAAAAAGCAGAGATGGCTGAACTGAGGCACACCAATAAGCTGTACAAGGAGAAGATTGCACAGGAGAGGCGTGAGCAGAAGTTGAAGGAGAAGGAAGAGCGTGACCGGCTGAAGGCTGAGAAGGCTAAGGAAGTTGCCAAACGCAAGGCTGAAAAAGAGCGTCAACAGGGGGAGCGCAACACCAAAAAACCTATACAATTGTCCCAAAGAGGCAAGCGCAAGGCCTCAGAGGTTGCAGCACCCAGGAAGAAGCAGAATCGTGGTAGTGCAGCTGCCCGTAGTCATGCTGCTGCCACGCCTTGCTCCCCATCCCCTCCAGCAAAATACAACAGCTGCGGCCACCCAATCAGAGCGCCACAAAAGTTTGAGTGAGAAACTTGTTCATATAGGTCTATAGACTACTCCGCCAGAAAATCTCATGATAATAACCATTGTGTGTGGCTCTACAGCCTCAATTTTGGATTGACGATTTTGGTGTTTTGGCGCATTGCGCAAATCCGGGCATTGCGCGCACAGACACGGTACTGTGTCTGTGCGCACAACGATCATGTTGGTACAACGACCAGGCAACAACAATAGTCACATTTTGACACGTCAACTACACCACAACCATGCCTGGAATTCATGATGCACTTATGCAGATTTGTCAATTAAAGCC